GTTGCTGATGTTGTCATTCAAGAGGCAAAAGTGTTTTGGTGTATTTCTTCCTGTGCTGGGTAAGATGGGAAGAGTTGGACTTGGTGGTCCTTGTGAGTCCCTTCCAACTCTCAGTATCCTGTGATCCTGTGATCCCTCCTTGCCTGGGATTGTGATTCTGCCATCAGTGCTGGAGCCTGCAATTAAAACACTTCCCTAGGTGTTCTGAGCACTGCTGGGGATGTTGGCGTGCATTTTTCTGGTAGTATGTCTATTTAAAACGGGACTCTGAGATAGATGGGGCTTGGGGCTGTCCTGTGCAGGGCCAAGAGTTGGACTCAATCCTGGCAGGTCCCTCCTGGCCCTGAGCAGTGGGTGTTTCTGTGAAACTCAGGCAGGTGATGTTGGCAGATACGGCAGGAGACGATGGGTTTGAGCTGCCTAGTCCCAACAAAGTTGTCGCTCAGCTTCAGTAGGTGAGCGTTAGCATCAGCTCCTGCCAGCGAGCCTGAGAGTGTGAGCCCTCCCACTGCTCTGCACACACGTGCCTGCAGCTCTGTGCCACTGTCCTTTGTGCAGGGTCGTTGGGATTTAGCTGGATCCCGCTGGGATATCCCTCCTGAAGTCAGAGAGAAGGGAAGCCACCTATTGCTGTTCAGACTGGGACCAGTTTGGCATTAGACGAGACAGCTGAGTGACTCTGTGCAATAGAGTCATCCTGAGTGGTCATCAGACCCAGCACAGCCACGTCTCAGAACGGGGGCAGAGACAAGTGCTTTGTGCTTTTTGCTGACAAGTGAAAAAATACTGATTTAATTAGAAAAACACATCTTTCGGGTTTTTGCCAAAGCAAACATTTGGATGTTTAATTTTTCATTCTTTTTTTTTGCATGTGAAAGCAAAGATAATAAAGGCCTTGTGGTCCCTGAGGGGCACTGTCAGACAGCAGACACATCTCTGCCTGAGAAGACACCTCTGAGCTACCAGCATTTATTGGTAGTGGGTGGCCAGTTGGAGTTCTGGGTGGCCAGTTGGTGGCCCAAGGAGAGAAGCAGGCAGTTCTAGCTGGCCACTGGAAATGCTCCCACCATGTGTTTGGGTGGAACCAGCCCGGGGCTGTTGCTGAGTGGCAGCTAATGAGCAGCTTTATGGGAACAAGATGCTGGGAAGCTCTGCTGGCTCTGCCAGAGCTGTCTCCTGCTGTGCTGGGGCTCTTACCCACGCATGGGACACCAACCTATGTGGAGAGAGCAGAGCAGCTGCCCTTGTGTGGCACAGGGTGTGAGAAATGAACTTTGAGACCTTTCTGCCTCTCCACCTTCATGGCCTCTCCCAGTTCCTGTGTCCTTTTCCTCCCCCTTCTCGAGAGTCCCTCGGTTGTCTCTGAAATCTCCCTGCAGTTTTTGCCAAAGGATGCCCCGTAGTGCCTGTTGCTATCCGGCCTCCAAATCACAGGAGGGAAAGTGAGTTTCAAGCCTCAGCTTGTAAACCTGTGACACAGTAGAGCTAGAGCTGCTTGTGCAGAAATATTCATCGGAGCGGGACAGGAATCCCGGTGTCATCCCTCCCCGTTAAGAGTGCTGATCATCAGGCCAGATAAGAGCACAGGCTGGCCAAAGGAACAGTTATTTACTACAAAACAGGCCTGTTCCAGTGGCAGGGAACTGAAGAGGTCTGTTCTAGCAGAGCTGCAACACTTGCCGGAGAGCTGTGATGCTGGTTTATCTTTGCTCACATCCATGTGCCGCCCAAGTAAAATACTCCATTAAAATCAGGTTTAATGGAACACATAATTTTTCCATTCAGTTGCAGGGAGATTCGGTAGAGATCTGAAGGGAATGTTAAAGCTGCATGCAATGGTTTTGGTAGCACAGGGAGCAGTGGAAGCTGGTGCTGTGAGGGCAGGACCACTCCTCACTCCCCAGTGTGTCCTGAAGCACAGAGAACAGATCTTGAAGCTGGTGTGGGTTACTGAACTGGGCTGTCCAGGTGAACTTAGCAAGCACTGTCATGTGTTGAAACGGGGTAGGAGAGCACTCTGTCTGACTTTGAAAGGATGTCAAAAGTCTCGTTGTCAGAGGTGACCGAGCAGAGCTGTATCCTTGAGGGCTGCAGAGATCCTGTGCTTTCAAATAAAGCTGAGACAAAGCCAGTACGTGCTTTGAGAGGAACATACACCGTGACTAACAATGCCTGTGCAATTACACACGCACAGCGAGGAGAGCTGGCCCTGCCAGTCTGGTGTTTGTGCACAGGAACATCTTGTTA